TCCTCCTTCTTCGCATTAATACTCACACGGTAAAAATAATAGACTTGTAACAATAATAAATCCCTTCAATGATAACAATAAGGAAGTTATATTTTTTCCCGATCCAAACATCCCGTGAAGATTGAAATAAATTGAATAAAGATAAATAAAAGTAAATAAAAAGTTGTATTGGGAGGTGAAGTGTGATATTTCAGGGTGAGGAAAGTGAGGCAGGTGAGGAGAGTGAGATACGAGTCTTGTTTCACAGGTAATGACTTACAGTGAGGAGGACATCCCCCCTCAGGCCAACCAAGACTTAGGTTACATATCTAATAAGTTGTCAAGACGTAGACACTTAGGAGGTGAGGTGCCGGGCCCTACACACACACACACACACACACACACACACACACACACACAGAAGGAAGGAACTGAACTGAACAACTTCGTGGGTGATAATAACAAGTACGAACAAAACACAACAGTTAGGTTAGGTTAAGTTAACATTAGGTTGTTTATTTATCACGTGGTATAACCTGGGGTGCTTAATCTTCAGGTAATCCCAAATATTTGATTCTAGTCCCTATCACCTATCAGCTAATGCAACTCTTCCTGATTCACATACACACACATGTGCGGTCACACACACACGCTTACTAAGTACATGCACATACACGTACACATACGCATACAAACAAACACTGTCCACCTTAAGGCCGGTGTTATCAGCAGTTTGTTTGGTGTTGTTTACTTTATCCTTGTTGGAGGTGGGAGATCAAAAGCCGCCGACCGGACCTGTTTACGGAGTCACTACACCGCCCGCGACGCGACAACCACCATCGCGGAAACCATTGGGGCGAGGAAATGGGTGGACCCGGAGAGACCATGGACGGGGACGGGGCATGATGGACCACGGGGCATCGCAGTGGCCCATGAAGGGATCACTTAGGACCACAAACGGGCATTAGGTGTTGACGAATCAAACAAGAGAAGGTGCTGTAGAGTGACGCCACAAAGACGATGGAGTACCACAAGGGGAGTGACAGAGACCCGAGAAGACTGAGGCGTTGGTGACAAGGCATCATGCTGGAGGGTTAGGTTAGGTTAGGTTAGGTTAGGCTAGGTTAGGTTAGATTGTCCATATCACGATGTTCAATTCCTCCAACAAACTCCATTTCCTTCACAAACCTCAGAAGACAGTACCAACATACCAGATACTTCAGTCCTCACAGGGGATCAGTTTACAGAGTTTAGACCACCTTTAGAAAGCCTCATGTACAGAGTCAAGGTTCATTAACGCCAGCAACGCCAGCAGTAATCCTCACAGCCAACACCAACACCTGACACCTGTTGAGATTTACCTTTATAGTGCAGTTACATTGTTTACTCTATAGTGATCGGAACATAAAAGCGACTCCTTAACCAGAGGAAGATTAGAGGTGCAGGTAGCATCCATTTAACTCGGTCATGTTACCCATAGTGATGGTGTCCGTCTCTTTCTCAAGTCTTCTCACGATGGCGTTTTCCAGATGGGTCGAGTTGACGTCACGATTACATGTCACTTACTGCACAACGATTCTCAATTTGACGATTTAACCTAACCTAACCTAACCTAAAATGCTAAATCCTACATATTGTTTCTTTCTCTGGCAACTGAACATTGTATACCGACTGTACTAAAGGAATTATCCGCTGAATATTAACTAACCTTCCCGGGAAACTGTGGCCTTGAGTTCTAATTGCCGATGACATGCAAATTGTGACTTCACCTTTCCGGAAGTACCACAGCAACACACATTGATATTTTCTGGAGGAAATGAAACAACAATTGGCTCTGGTGATGAGGTCGAGGTGGTCTTTGTGTACATCAGTGGCTGGAGGAAATGAACAACGGTAGATCGACCTTTCTGGAGGAACTGAAGTTGTACCTTTACACACACACACACACACACACATACACACACACACACACACACACACACACTCTGCCTTCTTCGTCTCTTAGGTACAGTGACTTACCTCATTGGAACCAGATTATTAAGTTCCTCAAACCCTGACCTGGAGTATGACTTGAAGGACTTGTGAACACCCCCCCCCCAAGTTAAGGACTAGCCCCAGGACTCACCTTTCTGGAGGAACTCGAGGTGCTGCCATAGTATGTCCCCCATGAAGGGCGGGGTGCGGGCGAGGAAGGAGTCACGCCCCATCCCCACTAAGTCACGCCCTTTCATCTGAAACTCGTGGACAGACACTCCCTCGAGACTGAAGTCCTTGATCGCCCACATCAGCCACTGCCTTACGTGGTCCTCTGACCATTGTTTGGGATCTGAAAGTAAACAAAATATCCTTCGTTAGTAGAGAATATATGTGTTGGTGGAGAGAGAGAGAGAGAGAGAGAGAGAGAGAGAGAGAGAGAGAGAGAGAGAGAGAGAGAGAGAGAGAGAGAGAGAGAGAGAGAGAGAGAGGCAGAAAAATAAACAGAAACACAGTAAGAGAAAGAGAAAAAAAACATATTTGGTTTCGTCAGGGCGTGCACAATTAATACCTACTCCCTACCTGGTGAGGAGAGAACAGCATTAGCACAGGTAAGGTAAGGTAAGGTAAGGTAAGGTAAGGTAAAACACTAAATTTGTGGCCGACTATAATCCCCCTTAAAAGTCTACGGTAAATGACTGCGTTCTCTTATATCTAACTGAGGTAGAAAAATTTCTAGAATCTCTCGCCTTGAAGGAGAGGAAAGGTGAAGAAAGGAGAGTTTGTGAGAGAGGGGAGGGGGAGGAAGAAAGAAAGGAATAAACGAGGAGAGGGGAGGGAGGGAGAGAGAGGAAGATAGAGGAATTGGGAAGATGGAAGAAAGGAGAGGCAGGGATAAGTAGGGAGAGGGGGGGATAAGTAGAGAGAGGGGGGGATAAGTAGGGAGGGAGAGGGATAAGTAGGGAGAAGCAGGGAGAGGGAGAGAGAGAGAGGGAGAGGCAGGTGAGAGGATCGGCAACTCTTTCCTAATATTAACGTCCATCACATTGCCACTCTCTTATGGGATAATGGCACCGCCGCTACAGTGTCATTATGGTGCCACTACAGTGTCATTATGGTGCCGCTACAGTGCCAATACGGTGCGCCACAGTGTCATTATGGTGCTGCCTGCCACATGCCGCTACAGTGTCATTATGGTGCCGCTACAGTGCCATTATGGTGCCGCTACATTGTATTATGGTACCGCACAGTGCCATTATGGTGCCGCTACAGTGCATTATGGTGCCGCTACAGTGCCATTATGGTTCCTCTACAGTGCTAACATAGTGCCATTCCGAGGTCAATCTAGTAACACACCACACCACCACAACCTCCCTCATGACACACACACAACCGTCGACCGCATTTAACCACCGCATGCGGTCTCTGTCGACACTCTCGACAAATTATCCGCACTTGATAATGGCATCTATGTGGGTTTGGTGAAGTGATACGTGTATGTGGTCGGTCTGTCTGTCTGTCTGTCTGTCTGTCTGTCTCTCTGTCTGTCTGTCTGTCTCTCTGTCTGTCTGTCTGTCAGTCTGTATCTGTCCTGTCAGTCTTTCTACCTACCTACCTACCTCTCTCTCTCTCTCTCTCTCTCTCTCTCTCTCTCTCTCTCAGTAAACAAATAAAGTAATTCTATGTATAAATTATTCACGTGTGACTCTGGGAATAAATAAATAAATACATTATTATCTCTCTCATCTGTGGTCACTACCCTCATGGTGGGGGTCGTCCCCTCTCTCCCCTCTCACCTCTCCCTCACTCAGTAACTCTCACTCTCTCACTCACTTACCACTTACTCATCACCTTCACTCACTCACTCCCTCACTCAGTAACTCTCACTCTCACTCACTCAATTACTCACTTATTACCATGAGTTGATCTCAATAGTCGACTAACCATCACCACTATCACCATCATCACCACTACCCTCATCACCACTACATCCATCACCACCACCCTCATCACCACCATTATTACCACCACTACCACCATCACCACTACCCTCTTCCCTCCTCCTCCCTCCCACCACTACCCTCACCACCCACAGCACCAATGAACACACACACACACACACACACACACACACACACACACACACACACACACACACACACACACACACACACACACACACACACACCAAAACTTCCTTAGATGACATAAATCCAACTCAAATAACTCCTACATACTCTACATCAACAACCACAACAAAGATGGCGCCGAAAGGACTCTGAGACTCTACCATACCCACAAGAAAGTTCCCACGCCATAGTGAAGAGGGGGGAACAATTGTAAGAACGGAATTAATATTCAGACGACCACTATTGTCACAGATTACAATTATAAATACGATTGAGAGGGAGAGAGAGAGAGAGGGTGGTGCAGGAGGCGCAGGGTGAGGGGAGGGAGGAGGCATGCAGGGTGAGGGGAGGGGGGGGGGAAGGAGTGGGGAGGTACGCAGGGTGAGGGGAGGGCGGGTACGCAGGGTGAGGGGAGAGAGAGGAAGGAGGGGAGGTGTATATGACAGGAGGAGAGGTGCCAAGGAGAGGGAGGAGGTGTGGGTATGTAGGGGTGAGGGGAGAGGGGTAAACAGGAGGGGGGAAATGAGGGGATAGGAAGGGGAGAGGGGTAGACAGGGATAAGGAAGGGGAGATGAAGGGCGGGGCGTACAGAGAGAGAGAGGAGGGGAGGAAGAAGAGGGGGAAGAGGGGAGGGGGAGGGGAGGAGGAGGAGGAGGAGGAGGGTATACGGGCATGCGTACCCTCGTATTCAAATGAGAGGGGAAATGACCCCGGTAGTACGCGTACAGCCGGTGTTTCCCCCACCACGACCCGTCACAGTGGTCAAGTTTCTCATCAGGGAAGTTTGATCAGAAAGTCAACCAAGGAATAGTTTGATTCATGGGAGGAGAGACCGGTGAGGGGAATTCTGATCAACGAGGGGAATGATCAGATGAAGTGTACCTTAAAGAAACAGACAAACAAGTCAAAGCAAGGCTGGTGGTGCGGGGGTTAAGCTATTGTGTACTGGTTGTGTGTGTGTACGGGGGTGAGGGGGTGAGGGGAGGAGGTGAGGGAGAGTGAGGGGGTGAGGGGAGGGGTGAACAGGTGAGGGGAGAGTGGGAAGGTGAGGGGAGGGGTGAAGAGGTGAGGGGAGGGGGAGGTAAGGGGAGGGGTGAGGAGGTGAGGGGAGAGGGGAGGTGAGGGGGAGGGGTGAAGAGGTGAGGGGAGAGGGAGTAAGGGGGGTGAAAAGGTGAGGGAGAGGGGAGGTGGGGAGGTGAGGGAGAGTGGAGAGGGGAGGGGTGAGGAGGTGAGGGGAGGGGTGAGGAGGTGAGGGGAGAGGAGGTGAGGAGAGGGGAGGTGAGGAGGTGAGGGGAGAGGGGGAGGTGGGGAGGTGGAGGTGGAGGTGAGGGGGGAGGGGAGGTAAGGAGGGGGAGGTGAGGGGAGAGTGGGAGGTGGAGGGGAGGTGAGGAGGTGAGGGGAGAGGAGGAGAGAGGAGGAGGAGGGGTGAGGAGGAGGGGAGGGGTGAGAGGAGGGGGAGTGAGGGGAGGTGAGGGAGAGTGAGGTAGAGAGAGAGGGAGAGATGAGGGGATATACCGGAGCCCTAAGAGTTCACTAATTATACTGTGATCTATACAATTCAAAGTCTGTTGTGCTATTGTGTCTGTCTTTCCATCTGTCTGTCTGTCTGTCTGTCTGTCTGTCTGTCTGTCACCCCATCTGTCAATATAAATATAAAATCGCCACTTTCCCCCACACACACAACAACAACAACAACAACTATATCAAGAATTTAGTGACTTAAGAATATAGTTGATCCTGAGGTACCAACGAGAGAGAGAGAGAGAGAGAGAGAGAGAGAGAGAGAGAGAGAGTGTGTGTGTGTGTGTGTAAATAGAAACAAGAGAGAAGTGGTAAAACGAATAATGAAGGACAATGAAAGGGAGGGAGGTAGAGGGCCTTTATTAACCCCCCCACCCTCCCTCCCCCTCTTCCCTTCAACCTCATTATAACAATTAAACAGTAACAATTGCTCTCGGTAAGGACCATCAAGACAAGTGCCACCAACGACCTCCCCGTCAAACAAAGGCTTAAAGACCTCGACTACCACTACGTCACATAAACCCACGTAAATCTAATACCAACATCGACCTTATTGACGAGTGTTAGATGACCTCCTCTTGACCCCCACAGAGACCCCTAAGAGAGAGGAAGAGAGAGAGAAAGAGAGAGAGAGAGAGACTTGAACTAGAGGGAACCCAAAGTGAGATAGGGTCCAATGAGAGAGTGTGAGAGAGAGAGTGTGAGAGTGTGAGAGAGAGTGAGAGAAAAACAAATTAAATTAAAGAAAAATGTTACAAGTGTAGGCGACGGATTTACATAGACTCAAGAGGTTCTAGGGAAAGGAAAATTGAAGGGAATTTCGCCTCGATGACCAAGAAAAGATTCCCTGTTGTTTAATTCCCCTCCCCCATCTCCTCCTCCCCCTCCCGACCCCCCTCCCCCTCCCCCGACCCCCTCTCCAGGAGTTCTTGAAACAATCGTCACGGAAGTAGCGACTTGTGAGAACAAATACAGACATACACACAAACACTAGTGGGTAATAATGGTCAGGTCACTGTGGGAGAGGCGCTGGGAGAGGAATGGGAGAGTAGGTTACATGTTAATTATACCTAACCTAACCTAACCTCATCTAACCTAACCTAACCTAACCTAACCTCATCTAACCTAACCTAACCTAACCTAACCTAATCTAGAATATTAGGATTGGAAAAACTTGAGAGAGAGAGAGAGAAGTTTTTTTGGGGGAAGGAGGAGGAAAAGTAAGAGAATATACGAGTTGAGTCACCTGCCCACCAGCCCCCACGGACCACCAGCTAACATACAGGTGTGAGCGGACATATATGAAAGCTAATTATTACCTGTTTGTCGTGAGGTCACATAGTGTTGTGTGTCACCCTACTTACTAACACACACACACACACACACACACACACACACACACACACACACACACACACACACACACACAGTCACTTTCTAAACAATAACACAAGAACACAACAAACCAGCCAGGGTTGTCGCGATCTGTTATCTATCTACAATGTTATCACTTAAAAGGAAAAAAAAAAGAATGTAAAATACAAGACGTAAGGAAAAGTCGTGCAGTTTCGTAATGCTGACGGCAGGCAATGATATCATGTCACTTATAAAGAGCGATAAGTGTGGGTGGTGATGTTGTAGTGTGTTGTTTGTAAGTATGTGGATGAAAATTGGAGTGAGAGAAGTCCAGTGTAGCTACGTG